AATAAATATATATAATATCTTAGCCCTGTGGGCTTATAATTACAGCTAGGATATATATGGTAATTATTACAGACAATCCCTTAAAAATACATTTTGAGTTTGGATAATAGATCTAAATTTTCTAATAGATCCTGCTTGTTTTCATATTGTGATGCAAATTCAATGTTAAAATTGTTAGTGATAGTGACCGACGGAAATCTGATACAGACATCATTTAAATTTCATGTAGATAAGGATTTGACAATATGGACTGTCGTAAATAGATAAAGTTCTCAATGTTTACCTTAAATTTTGAATTAAATGTTTCTTATACTTGAATATTTGCAAATGGCATTTTTTTATTATCAAAATCATAAGATAAAATACCTGACATTGGTTTGATGACTTGCCCAAGATGGTTCAGTTTCACTTTATATAATAAGATGGTAACACTTGCAGTGTTAAATCATAAGAAACATTTTTGAAGAAAAGTTCTTTTGGAAAAATGTCGGCCATTTTGTCAATGAAAGTGACAGCTGTAGTCATGGAAACATCACACATAAATGTTTAGTATGGTCATGATATTACTTGACAATGATTGGCATTGAATGTATTTCAGTCACAATTTACTAATACGAGTGAAAATCTAATTTTGATGTTCAGAATTTGTTCCTATTTTTGGATCATTAAAGTTCAAAGGTTAATGTACTTTTCTGAGACATGGTGATCTTATTTGCATATTGATGAGCCAATCAGACAACCTACGATGTATTCTTAACGAAAGTGTCAATGAGGGGCGAAAAAATGCTGTACACAATATATATAATTTTATATTAAAAGGTTATGGTAGAAAGAAGTTCTACAACTCATTTTTCAAATTTTCAAATTTAGAAAAGACATGAGGCGTTATGTCGGCCAAATGATTTTTCAATCAGGTGACAGATCATTAATGAACCACACAACATGCAGATTCATATTATTTTATTCCTTGTGTCACAAGAAATATCGGAAAGTAAACATTTCATATACAGCATACTCATGTGCAATAGTGCTGGACAATCAGTAAATCAATTACCATATACAATGCATTATCTTAGATGAATTGTAAATCTAAATTAAATCAAAATGATATTTAATAAAGATTGAAGTTCATATGCCAGCCATAAACTGAGATAAATCCATTCATCATATCATACATTTTCAATCCACACCTCTATAGTAATATTGACAATACACTATTTTCAAGATTCTGAAAATTACATTAGTAATACTTTGTGTGTACATTTCAATTAAACAATGTACAGAAATATTTTTAAAAAAATTGTGAATACAGGTACAATATTCTGTAGACACAATAAAACTTGGTTACTTCAAATATGTTATAAATACAATACTGCACAAATCCTAAGACAAGTACAGGAAAAATTGATGATTTGATGGGCAGGTTTGTATATAACACGTCTTCAGTCAAAATCAAAAAGGAATGCTGTGGTGTTTTAGACTTATTACCTGTACTGAATGTGTGTCACTGGGTTATGCAATTATAACCTTTCTCTGGCCTGAGTCTGTACATCAGGCAAACAATCCAGACATAATTTGTCTGGTTTAGAGTGAAGGAAGGGGAACTCAAGCCAAAAAGCTTTCACTTCCTTCTATTGAAACATGTAACAAATTTTAGTCGTTTATTTCTTTATTGATAGAGAGTTTGCTATTGATGACAAAAAGGGGCCAAAAGAAATCAGTGTAAAAAACGGTTTTCTAATAACTAACAAAGTCAAATTCGTGATTAAATAGTCACCAAGGACTGAAACGTGTTTACTGGGATCTCTGATGACTGTATAGTATAAGCTAGTGACTATTAAGTGCTGTGGAGTCAAGTTTCTATACCATAGATTTTGTTTATAGTCTCCAATATAACAAGGTCAAGGGTCAATTTCATTTATTTGATGATAACTGATAGGTATCATTTATCTGTTTTACCAGGAAGGAAATGTACTGGGTGTCTCATCTGTACTCACTCAGATGGACATTCAGGATTTTCTATGGTTCGGTTTTTTCATAGTTTTTCTGAAAAATGAAGCAAAAGTGATTTGTTTCACGAAACTTACAAAGAGGCCAATTACTTTCCGTTTTAATTTCATTTTCAAAATATCCATTTAGATTTTTTTTATTGTAGTTTCCTTTCAGAAATAACCATTACAATATTTCTTTGGACATTTAGATAAAGTCCCGTTCTTTACCGTTTCAACGAGTAAAATTGATTCACTTTGTGTGAAATTTGACTGCTTATATCAGTTATGTTACACAGCGCTCTATTGCATTGGAAGTGTCCTTCTAAAACCAAACATGTACTGGTAATTGTTCTTATTGTAAATTCATATTTACATAATTCATTCAGATTACGCTGCTTAACATTCATCTTCGTGTTATTTAAAATGAATGTGTCAACAAAGATTAAGATATTTTGATTTTAATTAAATCAGTTTAAGTTAAATTAAGGAAGTAATTTGATTTCAGACATGATTAACACATATGACACAGTAACCTTTCACACCTAACATAACTTAGCAATACTTTGTTATTGGTTCTTCATCAATGAATGAAACATTTTAAAATCTAGGTCACAGCCATGCATTGTTTTCATTTTTTTTTTTTTTTTGAGAATTCAAAATGCTAACTTAAAAATGAGTAAAAACTGGTTTATGTCAAGTGATGGAAGAATTCAAAATATAAGAAAACAGATAAAACTGTATGTTATGTTCATTGTGTCTAAAACAGCTGCTACCTTTGGATAAAAAGTAGCTATGATAATGAGAAAGGTATGTAGAGATCAATTCAGGACAATATACACATATATACAGTACATATATACGGGACAGAAAACATTTATCCAGCAATTAAGCCAGTTACATTACCTGGTAATTATTAAGGCTATCTGTATAATGTGTCCTGCCCCCCCTCCCCCCCCCCCCCCCCCCCCCCCAACCCCACCCCCAACGGAACACCTCAATTATATACTTATTCTAACGTTTTGTGGACATTTAAATTTGTGGTTTAAAATTACCCATGAAATCAATGAAAACTTTCAAATTCCCCACGAAAATCGAGAGTAATTCTCAGATTATGAATACAGTTTCAATTTAAGGAAATTCAAATTTATTTTACTCGAAATTCAGACAATTAATTTAAGAATTAAAGAAGAAATCATCATTTCACTCGGAAATGATGAAATGTAGATAGCGACATGATATGAATAAAAAGGTCTATCTTATCGAATAGAACAGATATTTATGGAATGAAAACAGTGATAAAATGTCATTCATAGATAACATTTGGCCATGAAGAGCTGTGTAAACTTTGTTAGGATATTGTGTCATCCAGGAAGTGCGTGGAGTGTTTTCACTCAGTCTTTGATGTAAGCACTCCTACAGTGTTGTTTATGATATATTAGTCATAAGGTTTCCGACTGGATAAATGTTACATAATCACAAAAGTATTTTCATTTACCCTGTATATTATATAAGATGAATCAGTTCTAGTAAGTAGATTATTAAATTGTTAAAGTTTTTAATGTATATTTCGCTTCTCATGAAATTCTTAATTCTAGATTTAGATGATCATATTGCCTGCTCATGAAGAGCAAATCTTTCAAGAAAAGAAAAAAGAACAGAAAAATAATGAAAATTTACATAAAATTATCACAAAATATAATATATAATTTGTCTATTTTGTTCAAGGGTGAATTAGTAAGAAGTTTAATGTATACTATAAAGAAAAATAACTGTCATGACTTTTGATTTGGTTCGTGAAAAAAAAATCTGAGATATTGGTTTTTTTTCATAAGGGTTATCAAATGTTTATGCAAAATTCTAAGACTCCGAAAAAAATAAAAAGCTAATTTCATAGATCCTCTTTTGACAACTTGAAATTTGTAAGCGTTCACACATTTTTAAAGTTTTGTCCTAAATTTTATACATGGGCATAACAAGTAATCATTGGAAAAATCAAGTTGGATGTAATAATGCTTCCTAAAGATATGTGTGATTTAAACCTCACCTTGAAGGGTTTGTTTTGTATGTGGCAGAATTGGACTTCAGCATGCAGACCATTGCTTATTGTGTTTAAGGCTATTAAAATTCATATTAGATTAGACTAGAGCTAATTAAAGCATTAATTGTCTCTAAGATTAATTATAAGACACTGACAGATAACAAAGATTTATTAAGATACATGTAAATATTTAAGTAATTTAGGCACATATCCTGTATGTGCTGTGGTGAAAGTTTAGATCAGTTTTAGCATATTTAGAGAGAACATTTTTTAGTTTTTTTTTAAGTCATTGTCTATTTAGGAAAATTCTGAACATTTTTAAACACTGAAATTCCAGATATGACTTGTGGAAGCCTGAATAGGCCACTCGAGGTCTGTATTACAACGATCAGACTGCATGTGGAATGTTTGTATTAAATGCAGGCTTTATTTCACCCTGGAACACATGTCAGTAGTCAATTCACTTTTTGGTCTGAATTGTAAATTGTGTTGATATTTGGAAGTAAAAAAATATAGTTTCAGAGTGTATATACAGAGAATCTGGTCATTCTGTGGAATCCAAAGTGGCAATCGGATGTATTGGGTTTGCGAAGATATCGTAATGTTTGATTGGATCTTAGTTATATAAGGGACCATTGAATATACTCGGTTTGTGAAGACAATGTAATGGTTGTTGTAGTACAGGTATTCAGATACAGTATTTATCCTTCCAAAGCCCAGTTGGGCTTATTACAGAACAATGAGTTGATATTTGTTTATAATCTTATTGAATTACGATTTTCATGGATGGGCTTATAAGGCGACTTGTGGGATTGAATGGCTGGATGGATATAGTAATTTTATTGATGCAGCAATTTGAGTGGACTACAAATGGACATGCAGTCAATATGATGAGATTTAACAAAGTCTTTATAGAAAAACCTAGGTCTGATGTAATAGTAAATCACTGTTACAATGTTTGTATTTTACAGACTGCCTTAGATCTGACAGCACCTGCCAGTGACGCGTTACTGAAGAACCGAAAAAATGCTTGGATACAGCTGGCTGGTCATCCAGGTATATATATATATCTTACATGACTTACCATCACATACATCACAGGTAAATCTAGGGCTTTGCTGTAAACTTACTTAATTTGGCGCCATCAAATTTTAGCTCATGACTACACTCTAATCCAATTATAATTTGTGCATCATTATTAAACTAATAATTACTACTTTTTGTATATAAACAATATGCAGAAACTGTAATTAGTACAACTAGATTCAAGCACAACACTTTTATTGCAAACAGCAACAAAATAAGATTTCTGTAAAATATAGGGTTATAGTCTATTCATAGGATAAAAATCACTGAAATCTCCCAGTCTGCCATGTGTGTTTATGATATATTGCTAAAGTAACAGGTGGAGAATTTTTGATTAACCTAAAAACTTGTCATTGGTAAAAGTGTTGTATGGTTGTGGTTACTTAGCTATAGGTTTATCGTCTCCTTCACTTGTCCTATTTCTGAGTGTTGTTTTGCCAATGAAGTCAGTGTTCTGGCAGTATTGTTGTGACTATGTGATAAATTGTGCGGAAAGTCTGGTGAATATGTTCCACAACAAACATATCCTAAATTTGTTAGTTTGATGACTGCTATTAAAAATAACAAACAGTTCATTCGTAATGTAAACAGTTAAAACAAACATCATTTTGGTGTCCTTACAGGCTCATTTGCCCCAGCTGGCCCAAATACCATCTGGAAACGTCGCATCACCAAAGACAACACTGAAACGAAGGCATATGAGGCCCTGATGGAGGACACGGCACACGATATTGTCCCGATCTATTACCGTGAAGTGGAATACAATTCTGAGTGTATCCTTGTTACTAATACCAAACATGGCATCTCCCTGGCAACCATAGTTACACCAACACAACATATAGATATATCTCCCTGGCAACCATAGTTACACCAACACAACATATAGATATATCTCCCTGGCAACCATAGTTACACCAACACAACATTCACATACATCTCCTTGGCAACCATATAGAGTTACACCAACAGTGTTCATACAACTTTTTTCATATAAACCATGTAACCATGGTGATCTTACACTCACCATAGAAACAAGGTGCTGGTAACTTTAGCATGGTTCTACAACTACTTATTTGAGTCAGGTAATTGTTATCAAAGAAATGTCTAGGAACCATGGAAATATTTCATATCTGGTTTTTGATCCTTAAGTATTATTCAGTCTTCATAGAGATGGAGGATCTGTTACAACACTTCACCAACCCAAACATCATGGACATCAAGATTGGGAAAAGGTGGGTAAAAGATTGAATTGTGGTCAATGGATGGTAAAGGTTTAATTGTGATTAGGGAAAGTTAAATGTTGAGTTCTTATTGGGGAAGGTAAAGGCTGAATTGTAATCAGGAAGGTTAAAGGTTGAATTGTGACAAGGTAAGGGCATAGGTTGACTTGCGATAAGAGAAGGAAAAAGGTTGAATTGTAATCAGGAAGGTTAAAGGTTGAATTGTGACAAGGTAAGGGCATAGGTTGACTTGTGATCAGGGAAGGTAAAAGGTTGACTTGTAATTTGAGATCAGGTGAAGGTTGAATTTTAATCATATAGATGATATCAAAAATTTCATATTGATGGCAAAATTTAGAATGATTTTGGTATGTTGTATAAAAAAAAATCTTCAACTAAAACTGGTTTCAAAAAAGCATTATTTGTGATTGGGAAATTGAAATAAAAACTGTTTAAATGGACTTATGTATATACATTAGAGGTATAAGCTTCTAGTTTGATTTCCTAAATATTCTGTATATGTACAATACTTGTAACATATGAATGTGAGAAATAGAATATTGTTTTAATATGATTCTTGAAAAGTTGAGAAAAATGTTGATTCTTTGAAAGTTTGGATTGATCTTGATTCATATGAAGTTGGGATAAACATTGGTTCTTGTGAAATTGGGATGAACATTTATTCCTGTCAGATTAGTACATATAAATATGTTAACCCTAGTAAGATTTATATGAGAGAAGTTTGATTTTGTATCAACAGAACATTCCTAGAGGCTGAGGTGAAGAACCCAGTACAGCGTCAAGACCTGTACGAAAAAATGATAGCGCTTGATCCAAATGCTCCCACAGAGAGTGAACAGAAAACTAAGTCCATTACCAAACTGCGATACATGCAGGTGAGGTTTAAAGTTAAAGCTACGCTGATTTAATTGTTCTTGTAAAAACTCCAAGTTTTCGAATATTCAGTAGATATACTTAAAATCAGAACCATTGTCCATCCTGGTTCATATTTATGGCAGTGTTGGTCCATAGTGTCTCTCATAAGTCCATGAAGGAGAAACAAAGTGATATTTCATCACTTTGCTTTACTGTATCTAATTCTAAATTTGAGTCATAGGGCAGAGAGGGTGATTTTTACTTGTGTGTCGTTTGCACAATTTTTCATTATTTTTTTCAGTTTCGTGAACAGGAGAGTTCTACAGCTGAATTTGGGTTTAGAATTGAAGCACTGCGGGTAAGTAAGATTGAGACATCGTAAATACATGATAAGTTTGTCCAGCAGTTACATTGCCACACTCTGAGTGGATGAAGAAATTCCATTCTGTATACGGATTCAAACCTTAAAATAAGACTTTCAGTTACTGTATTTAAGTAATGATAAGTTGGAATGTATTTGGAGATTTTAACTAAATTAGGAATGATCAGTTTGTTTATATGTAAAAGTACCGAATACATCTTGTATTTTCAGTTGTTTTTATGTTCATGGGTTCATAACAAATATCATTCATCTTTATTTTTCAGCTTGCGGGAGAAGCTCCAGAGACAAATTTAAAGAAGGTGAAGACAAAAGATCAGGTGGGTCAAACATCATAGACTTGTCAGATATGTTTTGATTCAGAAGATATACCTCATTTTGGCCATTTCTGCTTAAACTTTGAATAAATTCATGCTTTTATTTTGGAATAAGCTTTAAAAAAAAGGGAACTTGTTATAGTCAGATATTGTATTTGATTCTGTTCTGTCCTGTTAGATACAAGTATGATGTAACGGTACATCCAGAATAATTAGTGAATAAGATGATAGAAAATAGTTTTGTTTTTGTGTTGATCCAAATATAAGCCTACCAGTAGTAGTTTTATAAGCCCATGATCGGTATAAGTCCACCCATAAGGGTTAATGTTCAGCTGAATTACAAACAAATGCAATTTTATTGTTCATAAATGAGCCCAACATCAAACTCCATGACTGAATTTGTCTGCCAGCTCCAAGGCTTATTGCAGGATAAATATGGTCAAACTTGATCACACTTTTTTGAGTTTGATATCCATGATATTTTGTTGGTGAAGTGTTGTTCACTGGTCCAAGTTTCACAAATCTTCCTTAACTTGAAAAATATTCCTTAACTCAAAATTGTCTGTCAGAAAGCATTACATATAAAGTTAGGGAATTTCATTAAATTTAAGATTTTCCTTAACTTATGTTATGTATTTCTGTAGTAGGTAAGATTCCCTTAAGTTAAGGAAGACTCATGAAACATGGCCCTGGGCTTAATACAAAATAATTACAGTTTTACGAATAGAATTAAAAACCCTTACCAATGTAAATGAAATTGTAGAATTTAGCAGTAATTTTTGTTATAAGATTCTTCACCAAAACAGTAAAAAACATAGCTGATAACATATCATAATTTAAGTTTAAATACCACTAGTTGTGAAGACAATTTAAGGTTTTTTTCTACTTCTTTTAGAATTTGTGCTTGCTAAAAAAGTACTTGAGGAACAATGAAAAAGCCAGATGTGAGATTTGTGAGAAACTGCGCTGTGTAAGGAGGAAATTTGAGAAATCAGCATTCCTAATGTCACATGAGGTAAGGGGTTCACTTTTCTTTGTTAGATGATATGCAAGTTTTCATCATTTGTTTTTATAATGATGTATTGCACATTAAATCATATTGGCCATGTAAAATTTATCATAAAATATTGTATTCCTTATAAAGTAAAAGTTTTGGAATGGAGGACATTTTCCATCATTGAGAAAAATTCATTAAATAAGATAAATATCCATACTTTATAACAAATTTACAAATGAAAAAAATTAGCTGATAGGGAGAAGTTTCCTTTTGGTAAAAAGACCAGATATGACTTCTTTTGCAAGTATCTGGGTTTAAGTTTGACATATGTTTTGCAGATATAACAGAAATCAGTGTAGATTCATTTGTTGAAATGTTTTTCTTGGTGTTTTTTTTTAGCAGAAACTTGTTAATTACACATTACAGTATCATTAATTCTAATTCTCCCAAAAAATGATAACGAAGAATAGAGAAATTAATATGGAAATCTTGTAAAACCGAAATAAAATAAAATCACAATCACAACCATTAATTAGGAACTAAATTAAGATAAGAATTAGGATATCGACACTGAAACCTATAGCTTTTAACACATCAGTTTTTGATATGACTATTTACAGATACTTCCCCTATCAGCTCTCATGCTGATTTAGTGATCTAGACTTGACAGAGTGTAGGTTGATATAAAAATACTATGTTATGTTTCATTTCATTGGATGGCACGTTTGTTATCTTGCAGATGATTGGTAGTTCCTTGTTAGTAATGTATGACAATGAAGGTCACACAGGAGTGTGGATGATAGATTTCTCCAAAGCGATGGCAGTAGACGAAGGCAAATTACTAACGCATAGAAAACCATGGGTGCTAGGCAACCATGAAGATGGCTACCTATCAGGTTTAGACAATCTAATCAAGGTATTTAGAATTTCAGAATACTTATTTTGAATGTCAGTATTATAACTAGAGCTCTTTAAAATTTGAAAACACAAACCTCAATTCATTATTTAATTTTCAATTACAGACAAAAGTATTTTAAATCTAGATTGCAGTTATGATTTGTAAACTTGGTCTAAATAATTTCACTTTCAAACATCAATTTTTTGTGTGTGTGTTGAAAACAATTAATATGTAAATTCAAAGGTGAATTTTTGCAACAAATCCACAACAAACAGTGACATTTTCATTTTCTTTTTCATTTATTTTTTTCAGATATTTGAAGAATTAGAATTTCCAGAATCTAGTAAAAATTCTACATCACAGACTTTTCCTTCGCATTCCACAACAGAACGGTGAAGTTACTATGTTATGATGACCTTGGTCAAGGTCGGAGTGTTATGATATAGAGGTCACGTTCACATTGACCTCAGAAATACATGCTGTGATAACAATGTTTTTTCTGTGAAATTGATCATTAAGAGGAGTTGTCACAAGTTGCATAGAGACTAGCAAGTGTCAAAAAGTTTACACACCTTTACTATAAGTCTGGTCAGTGTTGGAGTTATCTCCCCTGGATGAAAAGCGGCATAGTATATACAACTATACACTCTAAAGCTTTCTAGTTGATGCTTTACATATGGTTGTCAGCCTTTTATCTTATTTCAGTTAAGGTAACCTGTCATAACTGGGATATGTATATTTGATTAATGGAATCACTTATTTAAGATGTTGATTTTTAGTTTGAACTTTTTTATAAGGCAAAAAAGATTTCAAATTCACACATATATGTTCTGAATTTCCATGCATGACAAGAATAGACAACTCTAAAGGGCAGATGTGTATAAGATCCCCCCTCCCATCCCAGAAGAAGGGGAGATAACCAAATCAGTAAATACTGTGTTACTGGTAATACCTGATTATCTGATGATAATGTATTCTTATTGCAATAATTCAATTAATTTTGTCTGAGTTTGAAAAAGTATGTTTACTTATCAAACACTAGGTTGGAAAACTCAATAGGAATAAACAATATAAAGATAAAAATAAATAAGTCTTAATGAATTAGGTATAAAATGTTTGTTAATTCAACCAGGGTAAATATTGATGCAGGTTAGAGAATTCTAAAAGGGTAGATAACTCACTGATCGATTAAGGGTAAACAATGCAAATTAACTAAATGTATGGTAATTGTTATAAAAATTTCATAAATAATTGCTGATTTGCAAATATCCCAACATAATTCATGTTCAAATAATGTTATATCTCTTTGGTTACAATATTTATCTTGATGGGGAAATTTTTATAGAGAAAGTCAATTAATTATATATGTCAATCAAACAATTGGATGTTAAGGGCTCACTTGTCTTCATGCTGTGTATCAGCCAAGGTTGTAACTTAATATCTACAGTCTATCAGAAGCATTATATACATAATAACAGTCAATTTATTTTATAAATCCTGCATTCTTTACATCATTACATAGAAGGTAGATTGAGATTGCAAGTTTATTATAAACGATTAAAACATTTACAAATTACAATTTACATGTACAACGCCAAAGGTGAAATATGCATGATCGCTTATGTAGACAAGTCAGAAAGTGATAGCACAATTCTCGCTTAAAGCAGAGTATATATATAAGATGAAATAAAATTTTATACTTATGTAATAAAAAAGTAAAAACTGTTAAAATTAGAGCAATAAAAAGAAAAATATTCAGAGAAATATACAATTATTTTGGATTCATTGCAGTGTCAAGATAAAACCCTTTTTTTAATAAACAGCAGTAGAATTCTTAGCACTATCATTTCATTTTGTGCATTCTGTTTCGAGGTGCAATATTCAAATTTGATATTACCAGCATTGATTGATATGTAATATGAATACATATACTAATTGATATATTGAGATATAAATGTACCCTATTTAACCTTCAAAAATCCCAGGAGGCCAACACAAATTTTTACTTATTATCAGGGTTAGGCATAATCAGGGTTTGGCTTATATATTGCAGACAATTCAATAACATTTTTTTACGATAAAAGTAGTGTATATGGGTGGGCTTATTACCAGACATAGGCTTATTGCCAGATAAATTCTGAAGGATTTAGGATGCTTTTTATAAACAATATTTTTAACACAATAAATGGGTGTTATTCACCTCCAAAAGCATCAATTAATTATTCCAACTGTTGTATAAACATACATGTTATACCACATGTGGTGCAACACTTCAAAGTGATTTGATTGGATGACAGGGTGAACTTTGCTTCATGCGCTCTCCCAAATTGAAATGCACAATAAGTGTGATTCACAAATATTTTGTTATAATTTGAACTTTGTTTGGATTTCTTTCCTTCATTTTGTTTGAAGATAACAAACCAATCTATTTCCAGTTATAGTTAGGAAGAATGGCAATATTTCCATTTCACTGTGTTAGAAACAGGTCACACAATCTTGTGTTAACTTATATTGGAACAATTAGCAGAGATCAGTGTAGGATATAGGGGAAAGTTACCTTTATGAGACTAGGGGAAAATAACTTGGGTTCCAAAGGATGCGAGTAGGAGCCTTCTGGGCTTAAAATGATTTACAGTTATTCAGCGCTTTGTGATTGACTGTTCTAACAACTTCAGAATGATGTAAGACCATTTTTAAAACAGAATACATATAAAATCTATCAAATGGTACTCTAAAACCAATAAAACTGAAAGATCTAAATGTAATTTCTGTTGAAATAGGGGTAATCCAAAGAGAAAAAATAGTAATTTATGAAAAATAGGTTATTGGAAGATTCAAGAAGAATATTCTGTAAGAGAGGAATTTGAGGTATTTGAGAAACTACCCAATACTGGTAGTAAAATAACCCAAGATTGATCCCTAATCAGATGTTAGCACATAATTACCGTTTCTGCAAACTAGGGCATTGATGGATTCAGTCATTCACAATTATTGTTGTATAAACAATATACCCAAGTTAATAGTTAATTATTTGTCTGCAATACAAAATTTCTGTATTCTGTAAATCTTGGGTTAGTAAGATACAAATAATATATTACTAAAAAACTTAAAAAGAGAACTGAAAGGGACATTTCCACAGTTCTGCAAAATAATTTACACTCTAGCCCATGAGAGCCTGAGTGATAAAACAAGACAAGTTTGAAAGATTGGATGATGAAAATGAAACAGTGTCAGCTATATGACTTGTGAATTGGTATCAAATAAAATACCTTTAGATAAGACCACCTCTAACATGTTTACATTGTACACTAATTGGAGTCCTATAACATGATTTCTGAATTGTTAGAATTTGAAATGTTACTTCTCTTTACTCTCAGCAAATTAATATTTTCACTAAATTGTTGTGTCATACATATTTGTTTTCTAAAATTGATTTTTCAAAATGATCTAATTTGTAAAATTCATATCAAATCAGATATAGAAGATTTAAAAGAGGCACAAAGAAATATTAATGATCTGTTATTGCTGAAATATGTTACTTTTGGAAAGCTAGTTTTAATTGCACAAAATATCTGATGTTAAATGATATTAAAGCAGTGTGATATTTAACCAATGGGGTTTTTGAGCAATGCTGTGTATGTTTTTCCATTTTTGAAGATTGAGAAAAAATCAAGTCTGTTTAAAAAATGTTGAAAAGTATGATTTATAGTAAGGATGAAAGGACATTGGTTATAGAAATAACCTCTTGTACCTGTATGTATTGTCAAGGAAAAACCACTATAATTATATCCCTTATGATATTTACGAAACTTTTACGAATTATGTTTTTATGAACAGATTGGAGCTGCTTTGTCTATGGTTGTGTTTTGTATATTTGTAATGTTATATTTGTTTCTGGTTTTAAATTAGATAATCATGGTTTGAAGTAAAAGTACTTCTAAACCAAGTATCCTTGTCATACAGAAAGTAATTAATGGTTGAAACCTTTTATTTCAAATTTTGATGAATAAGAGAGACTCACAGAAATCAGTCAGTACAGTATAAACGTTTAAAATTTAGTGCAATCATATCTTAGAGCATTGACAAATGATGAATTCACATATGTACATGAATTGCGACATAAACAACATGCAGAAAGAGCTATAAGCACATTAATGCTTTCAGTTCAATGCTTTCAGCACAAAAGATACTAAAATATGATAAGCGCTAGTAGCTCGGTCTAGCAGTCAGATAAGTCAATTACGACAATGAAATATATATAAATATTTGACATGAACAATTGCATTCACATGTAATATTTCTGTCTTTTTGAAATGCAGAGTTATCTGCCCTTGTGAGAGGTGTTGAATGACAGAATTGTTCATGTCAAGTATATGTATATCTATATCATTATTTCAATAATTCAATCATACATGTCACATGTATGTATTGTGTGTAACATACAAGAATTACTTGACTAAATCTTGGCTTTATATTTGGTGTTAATTAATATGTAAATTACTGGCAAGATGTATGTACTTTACAACATAATAGCTGATTTTATTTCAGTGTTGCTCTAGAATAATTGATTTTTGTAACATTCAGACAGAGTGTTTACATCATAAAGGATTGATAGTAACCAATACAAAATATTTACATATTAAAGTAAATAGTTACAAATATGTAATATACATGCAAATTGATTTTTTTTTAATGTTTTTTATAGTCTACTTGTGTAGGTAGGGTAAATAGTTATGATGACTTGTTTGTCCTTAGAAGTAATTTTGAAAGTAATTTTTTCAATACATTCCTAGATTTTAGACAAGATAGATACTTTAGAATTGATAATTATGTCAAACTATTTAATTTGATTTCTAGATATTGAGTAATCATGAGATTATTAAGTTTTTTGAAACTCATTTTTTAAAGAAAACAGTTTTTATATCTGACAAACATTTTGAAAGTAGTAAATAAAATTAAAAATTCTGAAGATAGGATTATCTATGTGTTTTTTTTTTAATTGCATTTTTGCATCTTAAGTTTGCTCAAGACATTTTAAAGGTTTGTTGACAATGTATATGAAGTTTGATGTTGTTGCTGAAGATTTAGTGTGTCTCTTCATTGCTTGTGAAGTATTGTATGGGGTATGTTATAAGCATAGTTAAAACCATCTTTGCTAGATACACTGTATTTTAATTACCCGATAGATTTTGAATTGAAAAAATTCCCCAAAATAATGGTAAATGATTAATTAATTAGTAATCTTTATGAATCTCAGAATTTACAAATACTTTATTTTGTTTATAAAAATGAGAAAATAATACAGATGGACTACAACAAAATCCTGACAACTCCATTTTCCTGATTTGACAATAATTGTCTGTTTACTATGTATTTCTGATATTAATGTTTTTGACTACAAAGTCTCCACTTCAAGTTATATAAGACTTACCACGTAGGATATCTACAAACTTGTACGAATGGGCAGTGTGGTTTTATATGTAAATAGAATTGATGAAAAATTATATTTAAGTTTCTCAGGAAGAATCGTTAGCTACAGTGACTTGCATAATTGAAATCCATCATATATACATGAACATATATATATATATATATATAAATGTGCATCTGATTGAATAAAATAAAGAAATAAACATAATCAGATTTTGTATTTTTATCTTCTTAGAGATTTTACGCTGGACAAATAAAAAAAATAGTGGACATTTTGTTTGATTATTGACCTATGAACTGACAAGGTCATATTGATGGGGAATTTCCCACATAATAAAATGATGTTAGAGGTGGGGTGGGTGAGATTGGGATGAGGCTTTAAATGATATCCAAAAAACCAGGAATGTCCAGGTTATAAAGTTTGATGCTCTTCCATGACTGACCTTGGCGTCTCTTTAAATATGAATTAAGTGTACATGTGTTATGAACAAGGTATGGTCAATAATGAATGAACTGCTAATTGTTTACCCCATAACGAGGCTGTACTATATAGGGACCAAAGGTGTAAACATCTCTACAGTGGTTACAATGTAGAAATATCGAAATGTTTTTTTTTCAGTAGCATTAATTA